TTCAGAATGAAAATTGTCCTTAACAAAAGGAAGCCTGAGAAAACAAGGAGAAAGGCATGAAAGCTACATTTCCCTAGACTCTGAGATTCCACACACTAATAAAATGTCTGTCATTAAAAAGACAGGAAGACAAAGTCTCAGGATAAGGAAGAGGTTTCTTTTTAAAATCAAAGACATAGGGGCCGGTGCTGTGGTGTGGTGGGTGGAGCCATCGCCTGTAGTGCCAGCATCACTTGTGGGTTCCAGTTCAGGTCTCATTGCTCCGCTTCTGGTCCAGCTCTCTGCTGTGGCCTGGGAGGGCAGTGGAGGATGGCCCAGGTCCTTGGGCCCTGCACCCACGTGGGAGACCCGAAGGAGGCTCCTGGCTGCTGGCTTCAGATGGCTGCAGCTCTGGCATAGCAGCCATCCGGGGGTGTGAGCCAGCAGATGGAAGACCTCTCTGTGCCTCTGCCTTTCAAATAAATAAATAAATCATTTTTTAAAAAAAATCAAAGACATATAACTTCTCAAAAATCTCCCTATGTAGACCTTTCTACTTACACATTAGAAGACTGGGTTAAAAAATAAAATAAAATTGTGACATCCTGGCCAAATCCTTGAACTAAATATGTAAAGTATTAGCTACATGGCAGACCAAACCCTGGTCAACTACATATTTACTTTCCAGCATCTTGCTAAGATCAAGTGAAGCATGTATATAAAAGCTCATCAGCGGGGCCAGCATTGTAGTGTTAACAGGTTAAGCTGCCCCCTGCAATGCTGGCATCCCACAGGGGCACTGGCCATAGAGTCCCGGATGCCTCACTTCCCATCCAGCTCCCTGTTAATGCACCTAGGTAAGAAGCAGATGGCCCAAATGCTCAGGCCCCTGCTTCCACGTGGGAGACCCAGAAGAAGCTTCTGGCTTCTTTTTTCTTTTTCTTTTTTTTCTTTTTTTTTAACAGGTAGAGTCATAGACAGTGAGAGGGAGAGACAGAGAGAAAGGTCTTCCTTCCATTGGTTCACTCCCCAAATGGCCCCATGGCTGGTGCTGTGCTGATCTGAAGCCAGGAGCCAGATACTTCTCCCTGGTCTCCCATGCGGGTACAGGAGCCCAAGCACTTAGGCCATCCTGCACTGCCCTCCTGGGCCACAGCAGAGAGCTGGACTGGAAGAGGAGCAACCGGGACTAGAACCCAGTGCCCATATGGGATGCCGGCACCACAGGCAGAGGATTAACCAAGTGAGCTGCAGCACCGGCCCCTGGCTCCAGGCTTCTATCAGTCCCAGCCATTGCTGCTATTTGGGGAGTGAAGCAGCGGATGGAAGCTCTCTGTCTCCTCTTTCTCTGTAACTTGTCTATCAAATAAATAAAGAAGACTTCAAAAAAAAGGAAAAAGAAAAACTGATCAGAGGCATCACACAATCACTAAAATTGGATCTTAAGACTACTTTTGTTCATCCAGTTTCCTTTATTGTGTAAATTAAAGCTCAAAATAACTGTACTCTTGCCCTCCAAAATCAACAGATGGATACAACTCTGAGTCTAGAGGTTACATAACAACCAAAATAGTAAAATCTAATCAACTTAATGGACTTTTTCCCCATAAATGAAACGGGACTGAAGTTTGCTATATATAAAAGTGTCGGCCGGCGCCGCGGCTCACTAGGCTAATCCTCCGCCTAGCGGTGCCAGCATACCGGGTTCTAGTCCCGGTCGGGGCGCCGGATTCTGTCCCGGTTGCCCCTCTTCCAGGCCAGCTCTCTGCTGTGGCCAGGGAGTGCAGTGGAGGATGGCCCAAGTGCTTGGGTCCTGCACCCCATAGGAGACCAGGAGAAGCACCTGGCTCCTGGCTTCGGATCAGTGCGATGTGCCAGCTGCAACGCGCCGGCCGTGGCAGCCATTGGAGGGTGAACCAACGGCAAAAGGAAGACCTTTCTCTCTGTCTCTCTCTCACTGTCCACTCTGCCTGTCAAAAATAAAATAAATAAATTTAAAAAAAAAAAAAAGCGTCAGCTCTATAAGAATAAGGTAAGACTGGTACCCCAAGAGCTAGCTCAGATAATGAACTGTTACTCTGTCTTAGTGAAGACACTATTTCAATACTCTGTGTTTCACATAATGAAAATTAAACTTCCAAGATATTTTATGAAAAAAACTGTGTAGCAATGGATTGTTGTGCTGGCAGCAAACGATCTGGATCTTGTCAGTGATGGAGAGTGGACAGCCAAGTCATTACTGCCCACCATGCATGGGTCTTGACCCTAAGGAAAGCCAATGACTTTGTTGGTGCTTGCCTGTGGGGCCATCCTGGGATGCACAGCACACCCAGCTCTTGGGACCAGGTTTCAGTGACCACCCCACACTGGCAGCATCAGCTACTGGACAGAACCTTCAAAGTCCTGGTTAAGAACTCATAACCCTGGTAACCTTGGAAAAATTCATTTGGATTGCTTTAAACTCTTCCTTGCAGTAGGCACAGAGGTACCCAAACAAAATTTCAGCATGGGACCCTTCTTTCTTCATAGTTATGTTGCACATGCCTGAGTTAGGGAAGCAAATATGTGGTAAGTTCCCAAACAGTTCAGACTTATGAGGTTAGCACAGCCTGTGCTTTGTCGTCCCTTCCTTGTAAATCATTCACAAGGAAGGAACAATCTAGGTGAATTCAAAATTAACCTGGGTGCCCACTATTGTTCACTTCCTGGCTGAGCCCATTATGCCTACACCTACTACATTTTCTGATAAACGTAAAAACTACATCTTAAGTTTCTTTCTTAACTATGATAAATTAAAATATCACACACACCATGGTTAAATTAAGATTCCATTTAAGAATTTTGGTGAACACACTTCAGATATTCTTTAATTGTCTGAATACCTAATAAAGTTAAAAAAGAAAAAAAATATATATACACATTCATATTTTAATTCTCCCTTACCTGTCCCAACAGCTATGAATATAAATAAACTGGGCAAAATGTCTTTCATTTGTCCTTAAACAGCAACTTAGAGTAATAAATGCTAACCCAGGAAGCAGATTTGATTATTCTAATCACCAAAGGCCAGTGAAATGTTTAATTGGGTGCAGAGGAAACAGTGAATATACCACATATTGCTTGCACCATGCAAGAAATGCATGGCATTTGCTGTCAGTAACTAAATAAATGTCCCCCGTGGTTCTAATTTAATCTGTTTTCTCCTCTCCCAACCCCAGGTGGTTTTAGATGTGCTAAGACACATCAGTAGTAAAATGAGCACTCCCCTGCTGCTTTTCTTACCTAAAAGAGTTGCTCTGTGGTTACTATGTTTACATATTTCTCACCCACTGTGCTTTCAAGCATTAAGAGTTCAAATTTATTTCACTATAGAAACAGGAAGCTAAAGTGCCAAAAGATGATCATAGACATGAATTGAACCCAACAGGTGTAACACCGGCTTACTACTCAGTTTCGCCCTTCCTCCTTTAACCAGTGACATCTTGGCTGTGGGGCAGGCTACAGACCACTAGGAAGATATTTGCAAAGGACACTTTTCCTGTATTATGTAACTGTGCATGACGTAACCCATAAGAATGGAACCAGGGTCATGTGCATCCACTGTTATCACTGAGGACCCTCGGAGAGTCGATTCCACTTTAGCAGCTTTCACAAATCCCATGGAAAATTTTGTCATAGTTTTTCAAATAAGAAATGTTTTTTTATTCTGGGTAATTAACTATCACCCTCTGACATTTCATTGATTCTAGAATGAGAAATCTTTGGAGTGGCTAAGGTCAAATTCTTTTTAAAAAACACTTAATATTTTGAAATATGGTTTCTAATATACAATTGGAAAAGGCCCAAATTACTACCAAGAGAGCTGAAAGATGACTGTGTCTTTTGTTAAAGAACTGATATTTATGTCTGGTCATTCCATAAAAGTCACTACCAGAGTTGAATGTTTGGCTTAGCAGTCTAGGTCCTGCTTGGTACGCCTTCATCCCATACAGGAGTGCCTTCCAGTCCTAGCTCTGCATCCATTTCCAGTTTCCTGTTAATGTGCACCCTGGAAGGCAGCTGGTGATGGCTCCAGTAATTGGGTCCCTACCACCCACATGGGAGATCTGGATTGAATCCCCAGTTCCTGGCTTAGGCCTGACCCAGCCCAGGCTGTTGGGGAGTAAACCTGAAAAAGGGAGGTCTCTGTATCTCTGTCTTGTCTCTACTTTTCTGCCTTTCAAATAAATGAAAAAGAAAACTCACAGCTCACACCAGTTCTTCATCTACAGCACAGATGGAACCTGAGCACATGGGTAATCACTCTTCAAGCTTTGGAAGAGAAATCAATAGTTGGAGGTGACGTCACATGTGTGGGCACATACCTTACCCATCGTTAATAGTATCACTAGGCATTTACACTAAATAGTTCAGAAGTTAAAGGGGCCTTCACTCAGAGTTCATGAAGTCTATGCCCTCTTGTAGGTCTGGAGAGGTTAAAAGTACTTCAGAGCCAGGCAACTCATCAGTAGCAAGACCAGGACAGAAATTCAGGCACCATAAAGGCCAGTTCTGTGCTTGCTTTCACAATCGGCTGGCTCACTGTCCACTTCAAAACACACAGGTTCCCTTTTGTGGTTCTATTCTGGATAGGATAAAAATCTAAAGGGTGAGGGAGAGAGGTTAGAAGAATGACCATCAGGGGTTTTACAATTTGCAATCATATGATGTTTCCATAAGATCCTGTCTTTCTTCTCTCCAGCCTTCCCAATCAGATCTGTTTGTTGTCTTTTAATGCATTTTTATTAAGGAAATCAGTTACACCCACACTTTTATAGGATGTGTATCCACAGTAATAAGTTTTCAGCTGAGCCTCTTCCAAGTATTTTACTCACACTGATGCAGCTCTTTTGATAAATAAGGTTCAGAAAAAATTTGAGGACCCTGCAGTATACTTCTACAGCAAGTACGCCATACAGAGTTCTGCTCTCTAATGGGTTGGTTACCAAGGGGAATGGAGGAATCAAAGAAAACCAAGAGGCTTTAGTACTTTTTAATTGTTTAACTTTATTACTGTTGCACCATTTATACAATTACATATAATTTCAATGCATCCATTGTACTTTTTTTTTGTTTTTTTTTTTATTTTTTTTTCCATTTTCCAATGAGTGGAGTGTTGGTGTCTGTGACACAAGAATGGAAGAGAAACTGGAACTGCAATGAACGCAGACTTTTTTTTTTTTTCATTTCCACTGACCAATAAACAGAACTACAGGTGCACCCAACCACGGACATGCATTAACTCGTCATGAGAAATCTAGGTAGGCTAAGTAGGATGAGAGGATGTTTGTTACTCCCAAAAATATCTGGAGAGGCAGAATGGAGGCTTGGCATCGAGATACATGTGGACAGCTAGGTGGGCTCTGTCTGAAAGTTGGCATTCATCCACAACGTTAAAAAAATATCAAAATAAGAAAGGCTGTAAATCAAAAAGAAACACAGAAAATACTGCTTTCATAAAGATCTGATTGCCTTGGCACAGGCCCTGCGGGCAAAACCAAACGCATCACTCGCAACTCCCACTGTAAAGGAACAGACACTCGGGTCTCAGGGCGGAGTGCCTGTAAGAGCAGTTCAGCTACAAAGGATGGACTGTACTTTCAGACACTGATCTTTAGCTCCAGGACTTACTGGTAAAGTTGACTGAAGGTATAGTAGATATTTCCCCACAAAAATACTATTTGGATTCTCCCTACCCCTCCCTCCCTTGATGGGACATCCTTATTTTTAATTTTTCCCTTGGGCAATACATATCCTTACTTCCAATTTGAAACAAGTTAGTATAGGACAGAGAGAGAGAGACAGCGAGTCAGAGAGAGGAGAGGGAGGGTGGAGAGGGGGAGAGCGGGGAAGAGAGAGTGAGAGAGACAGAGAGAGAAGAGAGAGATTGTTTCGTTAAGCAGAATTATCTTTCCCATAGGCTGTCCTTGTTCCTACTCCTTCACGGCTACGGTTTGATCCGAATTAGCAGCCGGGCCCTCGGCAGGTTTTAGCTCCTCTGCCGGGGCTGCAGGTGCCTGGGCCTTCGGTGTAGAACTAGGTGCTTCCGTGGCTGCTGGCGTCTCCTGGCTTGAGGCGGCAGCCTCAGTGCTGCTAGGTTTTGAGTCTGAAGCTGGGGCCCCGTCACTTTTCGTTTCCTGGGCGGCGGGAGCTGCGGGAGCCTCAGTCTTTTTGGGGTCCCCTTCCTCCTTGCCTGCGTCGTCCCCGGCAGGGGGCGCCGTGCCTTCCGCCGGCGCCGCCGCCCCGGCCTCGGCAGCTTTGGCGGCCTCGCCGCCGGCAGCGGGGCCGGGGCCGGCCGCGGGCTCCTGCTCGGCGGCCGGGGCGGGCTCGGGCTGCTCGTCGGCGGCCCCCTCCGTCTTCTCGGGCTCGGCCTTGGGCGCTTCCTCCGCGGCCACCGACGCGTCTTTGTCGCCTTCCTTGTCTTCGGCCTTGCCCTCGGCCTCCTGGGCATCCTTGTCCGGCTTCTCCTCCTTGGTCTCCGTGGTCTCTGTGGGCTCGCCCGCAGCCTGGGGTTCGCTCTCCTTGGGGGTCCCCTCCTCTTCGGTCCCCGCGCCCTCGGCCTTCTTATCTTTGTCCTTGGCCTTCTCGTCATTCACATTGTAGCCCTTCTTCTTCTTGCTCAGTTTGCCTCCCATCTTGGAGTTCTGTGGACAAACACAAGACAAGACACAGCGGGTTACTGGTGGAGTGGAAGACCGCAGGCAGGAGACCTGTACCCCAAAAATGAGTAACGAGGGGCACTCTGGGAAACAAGCAGGCTGAGTACCTCTGGCCAGAAATGCTTCCGTTAGTGTTTCAGATATTGTTGAATTCTGGAATATCCTCATACACCTAATGGGGTATCTTGGTGGTGAGACCCAAATATCCAAAATGAAATTCATGTATGTTTTCATACACCTTATACTCCTGAGGTGTATAAACTCACTGTACACAGTATTTCCAATAACTGTGTGCCCCACACACTACGGATGCAAGCCCCCAGCTCGGCAGCCATATTAGGTCTGTGGCATAGCCAGTTCAGGACTTGATCATTTTAAACACTGCTTGAACAGAAAGCTGTAATAAAATGCAAACTGAAAATGACCTCAAACTTCAAATCTTTTCCAATTCAGTTATGCATAAATATATCTGCATAAGCAAACATGTCTTCAAAGACCCCTGGCAAGTAGGATGCAGTCTGTTTTGATATGAAGAAGGGGCAACTCTAGAAAGCATAGCTTTTGCACTTATATAGTTTGTTAGCTATGTCTGATATATTAATTTTGCTTTTCAAGACATTTTTGGTTTAAAAAGTATTTTCCCAGTAATATAATAGAATTCAAACTACATATGCCAGGTCGGTGAGCACTACAGCCTTTTCCCTTCAAAGTAAAATCTCAGCGCTCTTGAGGCTGCTACTTTCATTCTAGCGGAAGAATCTCAGACTGTTGAATCCTGAATTTTCCTCCTCTGGTACCAAAGTATTAATCCAGATAAATAATAAATACTGAATGTATAAATAATGCATCTAATCCACAATCAATGCCAGACAGGCTCTGTTTTTTCTTCTCTTCAACTGTATTTTCATGGCATCATATATCAGTGAAACCCACTGAAATGCTCTTTTGAGAGAAACTGGGTGTTTTTACTTGATGACGCATAAGAGAAATCACATTTACTGTCCCCTTCCTTCCCACACATAAGAAAGTTCAGTTGCGGGAGACAGCCTTGTCCTGGGCCCCAGAAGAGATTGCAATGTCCTTTCATTTCATGTCAGAAGCAAAGAACTCCCATCTGCTGGCTCACCACTCAGCCCAGGGACAGCCAGGGCTGGCCCAGCTCAGGGCATCCTCCTGGTAGAGCTGTCGAGAACTCCTGGACCAGCCATCTTTCCTTTCTCTTCTCTTTCTCAAAAACATGACTATCCATTCAGAAGAGAAAATGCACTCTTCATTCACTCTTCACTACCTCCCTGAGATCATGAATCATGATAGTGAAATTACACTCATTTGTCTTACTCAACAGATAGAAGAGTACTATTCTTCAGTAAAAATTTATCTCACCACTTGATATGCTAATTCCCTGTCTCAAAAACAGCAAAAAACTGAAATCTGACTAAAATACTGTTCCTATTCTCAAGGAAGGTCTTTATTGTGTTACCCAAGGAAGAATTTCTCTTACATGTCTCTTTTTTAAAAAAACAGAGGCTTTCGGTGATAACCTACTTCAAACAACAGGTTCTACTTGACTTAATATTTCTCTATTTCTCCCTCAGAAGTTGAAGCCAACATATATGAAAAATATACAACTCAATATGATTCTTTCATATAAGCAATCACAAAGCAATAAGTGAAAATATAAAGAAAGGAATTAGACCAATATTTTAAAATGTAATATATAACTCTTTCCTTGAATCCTTCCATTGAATTAGCCAGTATACATGATTGGTCTCTATCAAACATAATTTCAGCTTTGATATTTCAAGAAATGTCATGGCACATTAGGCTGAACTAAGTAATAAAGGACACTTAGCAGGTCTGCCTTTAAGAGCTTCTCCCAATTCTATAATAGAAACCCATACACCAACTTAGAAATTCAAGACCATAAGACAAAATGCAAATGTAGTATGCCCTGTGAGCCTAACACAGTGGTGCCACTTTCTAACGCCCACAGCATGAAATTCTATATAGCTATCCCCAGAGGTTACAAGTCATGTTGGCTTACAAAGCTACAATCTGAATTGCTAAAATTGATTTTCTGAAACACAGTTAATACCGCGTTCTATACTTTAAGTGCAGCTGGGATCCCTTTCTGGGTAGGAAGTAAACACACATAATCAAGTTATAAGTAGAAAATGTGTCTCAATCCTGCTTGTTTTGCAAACACAAGGTAAACAGCCCTTGCTTTTTTGCTAATTGACCTGGGTTAGTTACACTGAGGCATCATAGGGAGGTTAATAGAATCCAACAGAACCTTTGAAAAGCTGGGTTGTCTGATTATTTCCCAAGACCTTGCCTATACCCAGAGGTAAATTAAAATTGCAATTTAAAATCTATTAACTGTTTCTTAGGCATCAGGCACAATCTTAATCCTGAACATATTACAAAAGTATTTAACCTCATCCACAGCACCAGGTGGTAGAATACCAATGGTATCCTTCCTCTTCCCATAAGGAAAGTGCAACCAACTGAATTCATGGAGTTGTACCATAAGCAAAAGGCTAAATCCAAAAAATTCAGCGAGGCACCATCTAGGAAGTCAAAGAGAACGCCACTAGGGAACTGGCAACAGGCAAAGCGCCCAGCCCAGCAACATTACCCACCCTGAGTTACAGTTACACTTAGGGTAAGACGTTGAGGGGATAAGGAAGAAATTCAGGAGTCTGGCCCTCTCTACCCTTAAACATTTCATCCTCTATTTGCGAAAGAAACTTTGTATGAAGAACCTTAAGAAACAAGAGAGCAGGGGCATAGAGTTTCAAGATTTCTCTCATTTGCATTACTTTTAATTTTGAAAGAAATCATTTGGCGTAGAAGATTAGGACTTTTAAGTTACACACACATAGTTTGTAGAAAATGCATACAATGAAAAAATAATGCATAGATTTCAATTTTCTTACACAAAAAGAAATTCATCCTTTAATTCCATTTTTCCACAAACTTTCAAAGGTGCCTTCATACATGTGCATATATATTTATGTTTGGGGTGTGTGTATTTTATATATTTACACGTATATATGTATATCAACTAATCAACAAGTAATCTATCCTGGAAATCATTTAAAACTAAACCAAAGTGACAATGAAAGGGCTAAGGCTGCCTTTGCACCTCTACATTTATGCACAATTAGGAAATTCACCAACCATTGAGTGGCACAGCAAGAAAACTGAGACCAATGCTGAATGCGCTGACCTAAGCTTTATGTGTTTATATTACAATCAAACTCAAAATTGATCTCTTAGTCATGATATCTTAAAGTAAATTGGGAGTTGTATGCTACAGGTTGAATATGACTTCGTCTCTGGATTCACACAGAACTTTAAACCTGTCAAGTTAAGAGGTACTAAGAGGGTAGAAACAATCCAATTATGGTGTTTGGAGGTAGGGGCCCACTGGCAGGTCCTTAGGTCACTGGGTATGTGCCTTCAGAAGACTGGTTTCACAGAGGTACTGTAAAAGCCAGAGGTCAGGCCCAGTCATTTTCTCTGCTTCCTGATGCACTCCTCCACACACACTGATCCTCCAGCCACACTCTACCATTGCCACCTATCAATTTCATAGAGGGAAACCGAAGTTGTCACCTGATCTTGGATGTGAACCTCCAAAACTGTGAGATAAATAAGCCTTTTCTCTTTATGAAGTTAGCTGCCTCAGGTATTCCATTCTAGTATCCTAAAGCAGTATCCTTCAAAATTTCAAGAAAATTCTATGTGATAAGGCAAAAATATGGCTTGAAATTGAATAGAAATAACTAATAATAAGCAACAGCAAACAGAGATACATTTCACTGAATTTGATATGGTATGTGTTGAAAGAGACTTTGGACTCTGGGTCATGGTTGACTCATAAGATATTGATATGAACCCCAGCTCCACCCCACACCAACCCTGAATCCTTGGACAAGTTATTTAATTCTTCCATGTGTGTGGCAGGAACTCAAGAACTTGAGCCATTATCTGTTGCTCTTGGACTTACCAAAAGAAAGCTAGAAGTAGAGGTGGGACTTGATCCCAGACACTCTGATACAGGGTTTTGAGCAACCGCAGTTGAGATCTAACCCACTGTGCTACCAATCCCTATCTGTATGTCATTAATCCCACTTGGCTATAAAAACTTCTAAAGAAATGTATTTAAAGTTCTGCTTTTGTGCTCCCTTCGGCAGATATATACTAAAGTTCTGCTTTTATTGAAGAGAGGAGAGAAAGTGCTACTCTAGCACTCTGAGATGATCAAAGCAATCTTAGAAGGAAAGTGAGAAGGTAAAAGTTTAGAGGGAGGCTCTGAGGTGGTTATTGATCACAACTGCCTAGCTCTTTTTTGCATACACCTGTATGTGATCTTACATATTGTCACCACAGCAAACATTAAAAGCAAAGGTTCTTACTACTGAGAACCTAAATTTTATATGAAAATTTCTTTGGGAGACTAAAGGCAAGAAATAATTTTAAATATTGTAATCAAGAAACTCTTAATTGGGATGAGCTCTCTACAGAGTTCTTTCAATTGTTCCTTTCACTTCAGGAGGACTGTCAGGGAACATGGAAGATGTCCCAGTGCCAGCACTGCAGTATAGTGGGTAAAGCCACAGCCTACAGTGGTACTGGTATCCTGTGTGGGCACCAGTCTCAGCTGCTCCACTTCCAATCCAGCTCCCTGTTAATGTGCCTGGGAAAGCAGTAGAAGATGGCCCAAGTCCTTGGGCCTCTGCACCCATGTAGGAAACCCGAAAGAAGCTTCTGGCTCCTGGCTCCTGGCTCTGAACCACACCACCTCTGGCCATTGCTACATCTAGGGAATCACTGGCCAGAAGATCTCTCTCTCTCTCTCTTTCTCTCTTTCTATCTGCCTTTCAATAAATACATAAATATTAAAAAAAAAAAAAGATGTTCCTTAGTCTTTCAAATCATCCACACTGTGATTTTGTACACACAATCCCCAGGATATA